GACTCCAGGAAGGTTGACTCCAATTTAAGAAATGAATGGATAAGAGTTGAATGTGTAGTTCAAAAGTTGAGCACTTGCCTAGCATGCTCAAGACCTTGAGTTCAATGTCCAGCACCTCAAAATAAATAAATGAACAGACTATTTGACGTGTTTGAATGTTTTCAGAGACTTTGGGATAGATTAATTAGAGATACTTGAATGTCAGGTACCTAAGAAAGTTTTAATGGAGTAGTAGGCAATGGCTAACGTCAAAGAAAGGAAATATAATCATATACCTTTGCTAATAAGATTAACTATAAATAATGTGTACATTTTTGTAACAAAATAATGGTTATTTGCCTAAGTAAGGTAATATAGACACATTGAGGGATAGAGGATGCAGAAACAATATGTGTTTATAAGAAGGTTATAGAGGGGGCTGGGGTTGTGGCTCAGCAATAGAACACTCGCCTAGTGCTCTACTGTGAAGAGATGGGTTCAATATGAAGCCTTGAATGTGAAGGCCTGGGTTCAATCCTCAGCACCACATAAAAATAAATAAATAAAGGTATTGTGTCCAACTACAACGAAAAAGTAAATATTTTAAAAAGAGAAAAAAAGAAGAAGGTTATAGAGGGGCTGGGGCTGTAGCTCAGTGGTAGAGCACTTGCCTAGCATGTATGAGGTACTGGGTTCGATTCTCAGCACCACATAAAAATAAACAAATAAAATAAAGGCATTCTGTCCATCTACAACTACAAAAAAAATTTTTTTAAAAAAAAGATTAGAGTATAAACTCATTGCCTATAGCAAGAAATAAAATGATGGCCCAAACTGAAAAATTAATAACTAGTGGGCTGGGGATATGGCTCAAGTGGTAGCGTACTCGCCTGGCATGCACCAGGTGCTAGATTCGATCCTCAGCACCACATAAAAAAAATAAAGATGTTGTATCCTCTGAAAACTAAAAAATAAATATTAAAAAATTCTCTTTAAAAAAAGAAAAAAAATGAAATAGTAATATAAAAATAACCAGTATAAGCATGTTATTTAGAAATATGAAAATAAATCCCTGACAGATGACCAAAAGATTAAAAATATATTATCTCCAGGGTGTAGAAATTAAGAGTGTAGAGGGCTGACAGGACCTGGTATTTTTCCTTGTAAGACCAGTGATCCTATTTGATTCTTTTAAATGTAATATGTTGATAAAAATGAATATGATTAATGTAGTATTTATTTGAAAATATTAGTAGTAAAGAATGAGGGACAGTTCTCATAAGTATTGTAAGACACTAGAAAACCAATACTGATTTATTTCCCCTCTTAAACTAAAAAATATCTTGTGGCCTGAGTGCCTGCCTAGCATGTGTGAGGCATTGAGTTTGATTCTCAACACTACATGAAAATAAATATTAATATGGTAATTAAGTGAATTAAAAAAAAATATCTTGCTACTCTGGTACCGACCATACAAACTGTGTTGCTTTGTTATTTCAAGGGCCCAACTAACTTGTTGGCAGTGGTAGCACCAAGAGTTCTAGAAACAGATAATATTATGGTCCCATTCATTGTTATTATAGTGGGCATGAGCAAGTGATCACATAGTGTTGCATACTAAAATGGCTTTACAGACAACCAAAGGCAGAAAACCTCAGTAAAGGGGGCTGAGAAGGAGAAAACATCCCTGATATAAGAAGGCTCATCTAGGACATTCCCAGGGTATGCTAAGAAATAGCTGGAAGGACTTTTGTGCATGTGTGCACAACCTTCTGTATCTACTGGAAGCACAAAGGAAATCATCATCATTGATGCTGTGTAAGATTCTATTTGTTCCCCTGGACTACTGTGGCCTGGTCAAGTGCTGAATAAATCAGAGACGATGGGGTGGAGGAATAAGAAAAAAGGGGTCATGCAGAGAGCTCCAATTAATCACTGAAGGGGAATAGATAGGGAGCTGCAGATAACTGGCATAGCCTTGGTCCTAGATACATTTGTCCCAGATACATATATTGTCACTTCTTCCTAACCTTCTGACTCCCTCACTTAAATTTAGAAAAGATTCCTCTTCCATATCTAACCATCCCCCACCAGGGTATTTTTCAGGCCTCACGGAGAAGAGGACCCAGACTAGGTGGAAGGGTACACCTGGACTGCATCACTCAAGAGGAATACAGTAGGAAATCTAGTTACAGGAAAGCAAAGAAAAGAGCAGGGAGAAGAGTGGTTAGGCCAGCCTCACTTTTAGAAAGAACAACTCCAAAGTGATTCAGGGTCTAGGAAGACCATAGGTCAGAAATCTTTCTTCTCCACTGCCTACTATGGTGCCCACAATCCAGATGCCACACCTCAGCCTCTTACAGTCAGAAACAATCAAGCAAGGATTCAAGTAGGTGCCTGGTATTTTTCTTTGAAGCCAACTAGAAGAGCTTATTTCATTCCCTTTTCTCTTTTCCCTGGTTTACACATTTATTGCTGTTTGCTCCAAGAGTTCACAATATTTTGGACGAGGTGAGGGTTATAAGGGGAGATAGGAAAGTATAATTTTATCATAATGGAGTAAATCAGGAAAGATATTTATATCAACACAGAAGAGAGTACATTTGTCAAGGAAAGCTTTCTGCCCTAGAAGACCCCTGACCTAAAGGAAAGAGTTATTGAATTATAAGCAGGGCAGAAAGAGGAACCAACCCTTCCACTTGTGATGAGTCACTTGAAATTACATTCATTTTTTGCCAAACATGTACTTCTCTCAGACCCTCAGCTCTACCTTTCCCTCCCTGATACTCTTCTACTTACATCAGCCTGAATCTTCAGTCAGCCTGTAATCAGGCAGCAATCTTATAGTCATACTCCACTAATGGCAGCCAAAATGCTGCCTAAAAAAATATAAAATTTTTAGTAGCCACATTTAAGAAGTAAAAAAGTGAAATTAATAGTATATTTTATTTAATCCACTATATCCAAAACATTTAAACTTTACTTTTTTTTCCTTTGGTACTGGAGATTGAACTCGGGGGCACTCGACCATTGAGCCACATCCCCAGCCCTATTTTGTATTTTATTTAGAGACAGGGTCTGAGTTGCTTAGTGCCTCACCATTGCTGAGGCTGGCTTTGAACTTGCAATCCTTCTGCCTCAGCCTCCAGAGCCACTGGGATTACAGTTGTGCCCAGCAACTTTGGTCAATATTTTAAAATTAGATATTTTACACTTTTTGCATGCTATATCTTTGAAACCAGTGTATGTTTGACATTTTAGTACAGCTCAATTCAGACTTGCCACATTTCAAATGCTCAGTGCAACTCTAAATGCTGTCTTGGTCAGGGCAGCTGTCCAGATTGAGAGTATTTGATGTTTCTCCACTAAAAAGATGGAAGCCAGATGGGCATGGTGGAGAGAAGCCTGGGCAACACAAGAAACCCCCATCTCAAACACACACACACACACACACACAACAGATGAAGCCCCTCAGATGGAGGCAGTAAGGTATGTATCCTGTAAGCCTCTGTACCCCTATCAAGGCATTGAAAACAATTTTTAAGGAAGAAGTCTTATGAGGTTTCAGCAAAGAGTGAGCACTCCATTATTTAGATACCAGTCCTAGACAACCCTAAACTGATGCCAAATTTGCAGCTGAATCAGCTTTTAGCAATCAGATCCACAGTGCCTCACCATTACATCTAACCCAGGCTGTCTCCAGATTTTCTCTGGCCAGCAAAAACCCCACTGCAAAGACTTGAGAATTCACCAGTGTGACAGTATTTTCACAGGAAATTGGTAAGAAAGCAACTAGCCCAGCTGATCTGGCTTTGATTGGGGTTTGGTGTCATTTGCCTTTTGGGATCCAAAATGGCTAAATAAATACATGTGGTGCAGTAACAGAAAGCTTGTGTTGGAGTCTGGCCTAGAAGCAACAAGAATCACATAGGAGGAAAAATATTCAGAAAATTTTACCTGTTGAAACATTTTCACAAACTAAAAAGGACCACTTTTTAAAAATTTTTTTCTAATTAGTTATACATGACAGTAGAATGTATTTTAACACATTGTACGCAAATGGAGCACAACTTCTCATTCCTGTGGCTATACATGGTGCAGAATCACACCAGTAGTGTAATCATATGTATATATAGGGTAATAATGTCTGTCTCTTTCTACTGTCCTTCCCATCCCCACAGCCCCAACCCTCCTCTCACTCCCCTCTGCACAACCCAAAGTTGCTTCATTCTTCCCTACCCATCCCATGGATCATCATCCACTTAACAGAGAAAACATTCAGCCTTTTTTTTGGGGGGGGGGGCAATTGGCTTAGCATGATATCTCTAATGAAAGGACCACTTTTAAAATCTATTTAGAGAGAGAGAGAAAAAAAAAAAACACGGGGTATCACAGGAGCAGATTTTGAAATTCATAGTTCAATTCCCTTAGGATGAGCAAAAAACCAAAGACCCAGAAAAGGGAAGTGATTTGCCCAATGTCATTCAGCAAATCCATAAAGGTTGTGATGAATCCTTCATTCCTTCCACTACCTCGTCAGTCTCCATTAACTGAAAAATATTTTTAAATATTTATTTTTTAGAAGTAGTTGGACACAATACCTTTGTTTTATTTTTATGTGGTGCTAAGGACTGAACCCAGGGCCTCGCACGTGCTAAAGATCGCTCTACCGCTGAGCCACAATTCCAGTCCCCTGAAAAATATTTTAATGGGAGACACTGTGCCACCTCTAGGGTGCTTCTAAAATATCTGCTGAGGATGATGTGCCCTGAGGAACTGGGTCAGCACTATCCCATCTCGGACTTGGCGGTCAGACGCCAAGGATAGGCAAGCCCTCACCGGTGCGCAGCGCCCGGATTCCCCACCTCCTTGGAATCCTGGGCGGAGGATGCTGCTGCCCAGCCCAGCCCTGCCGCTGTGACCCACTTCCTAAATGCAGGCTGGACCAAGGCGGTCAGCCAGAAGCGGAGGCCACACCCACCAGGGCAGCTAACAAAGGCTGTTAGAAACCTGGCAGGCAGTTGTGTCCCGGAGGCTCCCGAGAGGCAGGTTAGTACCCAAAGTGCAGGAGACGACTCCTTAACATTCCGACTGGGGTGGGCTTCCGGGAAAAGAATGCTCGGCCCAGACCCAGCCTGGTTTCCGCGCTTGGCACCCGGCAGGCCGCGCCAGGCAGAATGAGCCTCTGCCCCAGCAATTCCTGGAGCTTCGGCTCACCCCGGCCTCCCCTGGATGGCAACGAAGGCTCCGACCCCGCACCCCCTAGGACACTGGAGCTTAACGGGGTCTCCCTGAGTAAAAGAACTTTCCAGCGCACCGGCACCTCGACCAGCCCCCGCTGCTTCTGCTCCCAGGAAGATGTCCGAGCGCCCAGACTGCAATCCCAGCGCGAACCTTTTCCGTCCGGGGACAGAGCGTTGGCCCACCCCACGTGGAGTTCGTACAGCCTCCGGGCCTTTCCGCACAGGGAACAGTTTCCGGGGCGGATGCATTTTACAGCTGACCCGGCGCGGCTGATGACGTGAAGTCCCAGACGGAAGTGCGGGCGGAGGATCCCGAGCCGGATTCCGAGCCGGGAGTAGGTCTCCGGCCTCCGGGCTGCCGGCTGGCTGGAAGGCGGTGATGGCGTCTCTGTGGGGAGGTCTCCTTCGACTTGGTTCCATGCTCAGCCTGTCCTGCCTGGCGCTCTCCGTACTGCTGCTGGTACAGCTGACAGACGCCGCCAAGGTGAGTCCCGCCCAGCCTTCGCTCCTGACAGGAGCTCCTCCCTTACCTCTGGCCTTGCGGAAACTGGATCTGCCTACCTGTTCTCTACCCGAGCCCTCCCCCAGCCCTGACAGCCATGCTCCTAGCTTCACAGCCCTTGCAGCACTCACCCTTACTCTTTACTGCCCGGTAGCACTCCTGCCCTCAGTCCTGACAGCCTGGCAATCGCCGCCCCCACACCCAGTCCTGACAGCTACTCTTCCACGTTTTGACATTTCCCTCCCCAGCCCAGACAGCGTCCATCTCAAACTTTACAACCTTTCCAAGAATCTTTAACTCTCCACCTGCTCTGATACCTCACCCCCTACCCTCCACCAGCCTCAGCACCCCCCCCCGTGTTCTCCAAACCAAATGATAGGAAGCCCCTCCCTTACAGAAGTTTTTCTTATTAGGAACTAACTCCCCTGAACCCATTCCTAAACAGATTCCCTTCCTATCATGGAAACTAATCTTTCCTGGTAGACTTCCTTAGTAGCAGGACCTACAGAGTATCTCTCACCAGCTTAATAGTCTCATCTCTCCCTCTCAAGGACCTCTTAGCTTCTTTCTTGCCTTCTCTCTTTCTTATAATTTAATGGAAAAGAAATGAGACAAACCACAGGAAAGGTGAGATTATGGCCTTTCTCCAAGTTTTTCTTTCTTTCTTTTCTTTTCTTCTCTTTTCTTTTCTTTCTACCAGAGATTGAACTCAGGGGCACTCAACTACTAAGCCACATCCCCAGCCCAATTTCGTATTTTATTAGAGACAGGGTCTCACTGAGTTGCTTAGCGCCTTGCCATTGCTGAGGCTGGCTTTGAACTGGGGATCCTCCTGTCTCAGCCTGTCCTGGTCTCATACATACTTGTTCTTCTTCTTTGATGTCTTTGATGAGGTAAATCATTTGGGGGCAAAAATAGAAAGACTTCACATTAGTGTGATGGGAAAACAGAAAGCCATTGCATTTTTAAATAGGAGCTTAAATCTATAATATCCTTTTTATTCTTTTTAGTTATACACAACAGTAGAGAGATCTATAATATCTTTAAACACAGGGACTAAGATAGATTACAGGCAGGCAGATGTTTTTGAAAAGGAGTTCTTTTTGAAACTCTTTCTGACCTCCCTCCAGAAACAGAGACAGCAGCAAGTCTCTTGACTTTTAAAACTGCATATTGTTCATCATCACTTTATGTAGTATATTGTGGTCATGTATGTGTTAATCTCTTCTTAGGGTGTGTCCTAGGGCAAGAACCATGTCTCATGCTTATCTGAATCTACCTCATTGAGCTACAAGGTCTGGCACAGAGTAAACATTGAATGGTTGCTGAGTAAGTTTATGAACAGTGAACGGCTCTGCCAGACATAGGGCTGTATGTGGGAGCAATGGGCATGGTCTTCTGGGGACAAATGAGTAATTGTTTTCTCAAATTCCCCTTTACACTTTCTGTCTGTATATGCGTCTTGATTTTTTTTTTTCTTTTTTAATGCTGGGGTTTGAACCCAGGGCCTTGTGCATGCAAGGCAAGCCCTCTACCAACCAAGCTATATCCTCAGCCCCTGAGGATAATTTTTGTTGTTATTGTTAGAAGTTGTCCTCGCTGTCAACCAGAGATTAGTAGCAAAATTTTCTGGGAAGAGTAGAATAAGCTGATTTCAGCTAGAATTAAGCTACTTCCCCTATGTACTTCCTTCTTAGTTGTAGCTAAGTGCCTCTAAAAATTCTTTCCTTATAGGATTCTAGCCCAGTCAGTCCATTTTATCCATGTCAGTGCCTTTCTACCAAAGGGTGAAAGATGGTAGGCAAAAAGTTGTTTTTTTGTGATGCTAGGGATCAAATTCAGGAGTGCACTATACTAAACACTTGATCTACCACTGAGCTAAATTCCCAGCCCTTTTTAAAAATTTTTTTTTTTTTTTTTTTTAGTTTTCAGTGGACACAACATCTTTGTTTGTATGTGGTGCTGAGGATTGAACCCGGGCCGCGCACATGCCAGGGGAGCACGCTACTGCTTGAGCCACATCCTTAGCCCCCTCCCAGCCCTTTTTAAAATTTTTATTTTGAGATAGGATCTTGCTGAATTACCCAGGCTATCCTTGAATTTGTAATCCTTCTGCCTCAGCCTCCTGAGATTACAGGCATATGTCTCCCCCATCCTTTTGTAATTAGCATTCTTATTTATAGGCACAACTATTTGTCAACTATATATTTTTCTACTGGCAGGTAGGCAGTGATAACATTAACACAATTTGATTGTTATGTGATTAATAAGTAACAGATCATGTATTACATATTATTTCAAAATAATTTAATGTAATATATGATGATTCATTAGCTTAGCATAAAGGACTTATGGTTTTAAAACTTACATCACTCAAAATTAAAATTTTAAATGAATGGATTTATAAAATTTGACAGGATGTTTAGCAAAGTGAATATTTGCCGTTTTTAAAATATATGAATGATAAATCATAAATTATACTAGCTTTTCATTTTGGTTACAGAATTTCGAGGATGTTCGATGTAAATGTATCTGTCCTCCCTATAAAGAGAATTCTGGACATATTTATAATAAGAACATATCCCAGAAAGATTGGTAAGTATTCTGGATCACTGAATTGCCTGCCACATTTCTTTCTGTGTTGTTACTGTTGGCTCAGAATGTATATCCAATGTGTCATTTTCTTTTTAAGTATATCTTTTTTTAAGCAAAGATGTTACATTCTTCTTTATTTGAAAAAGAGTAAGGCTAAGGGCATGATATAAAGCTAAAAGAACACTATAGCCCAAACACCAAACCCTCCACAGGGAAAGTTTTATATGCAGATGGCACTGAGTAGTTTTTTTTTTTTCCTTTAATTTTTTTCCTTTTAATTGTTGATGGACCTTTATCTTATTTATTTATTTATGTGTGGTGCTGAGAATTGAACCCAGTACTCCTACATGCTAGGCAAGTGCTCTACCACTGAGCCACAATCCCAACCCCAGCACTGAGTTTTTGGCACCTAAACTACTCATTGTTACCTGCCTATGCCGCACCATTTGGTGAGGGGCCTTTTTCTCTCTCACTTTTCAGTGAAAGGTAAGCAAACCTTCATCTGAATTATAATTTGTACAACATCAGTTTTGATAATATTTGGTATTGCCACATAGAAGAGGCTATGTTTAAAAGTGTCAGAGCTCTCAGGAATGATGATGAATGAACTATATATATTAGTTTCCCATTTGGTGTGAGTAATTAGTTTGTATGTATACAGAGATAGTGATCCTTTTGCCTTCAGGCAATCAAGCAGACCTATAGTGATTGGAATCCTGACTAGCCAGCCACCAGTAGCCTTTGTTTATCACAGTAGACCTTATAAATGATAGCTTTGTACACACCCACACATTTTAGTTGTTTAGTATTTTAGTTGTTGATATACTTTATTTATTTATTTATTTGTGGTGCTGAGAATCAAATCCAGTGTCTCATGCATGCAAGGCAAGCACTCTACCACTCAGCCCCAGCCCCAGCCCCAGTGATAACTTTTTCTTTATGCTCCATGAAACAGTTGGGAAACGGATGTGTTATAGTAGGATGAGTGTATGCCTTCCCATAGAATTGTGATGTTCATAGTTTATTGATGTTCATAGGGGTTAGGTATCCAAGGAAAATAGCTCTAAATGCTAGCTATTTTCACAAGAATCTGATTTCATAGCTCAGTAATCAGCAAAGGGTCTGAAAGCAAGATTAAATTCTTTCTGTCACAATATTTCAAACTGACTTTGAAAAAGAAAAGCCTGCCTTTGAACATGGTTAGCTTCTCTGATGTCATTGTTTATAATTCTCATGATGAATGCTTTTAGGTTTAGTCTGTTTGATGTGTTCCTGAGAACTTTTTGTGTTCCACTTTAAAAGGTTTCATATTACAAAGTGATTTGACAATATTATTACAGATTTTGTATCAGCAAGTTACTTTATATAATGCAAAAAAAAACACCCTCAAATAATCGTTAAGTTACTTCTATAAATTTTCCAAAGATTCTGAAGATTAAAAAAATCAGTTTTGTTATCAGTAAAAGAATATGAATTCAGGTTGCAAATAAACTCACTGTTCAGTGATTTATACCAATCTTTTCACTAACTTTTTGTTATTCCAGGCTCAGATAAAGCCATACATTGTTCATTCCTGGTTATTAGTCAAAATAGAGCTTTGAAAATAAACAGTTGAAAATAAGCCTTGTTTGAGATTTTTCTTCCTTCCCTTATCACACTTTCCCTTGCTTCTTTCTTACAGCTTAACCTTTTACTGGAATAGTCTCCCAATTGGCACTGAAATTTTTAATTTGCTTTAGTAAGTAAAACAGGTTGTCATCAATCAGGATGTTGTTGCTTCCTGAGGCCTCCAATATCAATATATCCAGAACATAAAAGAAATGGATGCACAAAGGTACAGATGAAACATGTAGGTCAGGCATTAGATTGATGGGGGTCATATGCTGAGTACCCGTTGCCTATTTCTGAAATCAGGAATAGATATTTCATGCTGTGAAGGGTGCAGATGAAGTCAGGCTTCCAACTTTAGCTATAATATCTTCCTTTTGACACTAGGGGGAACTGTTGCCTAGTTCCCAAAAATAGCTGAACTGCCTCTAGGTTTAGCTCTGCTCCTGACTGGTTGGTTTGAATGAACCTCCCTGCTTCTTCAGTCTTGCACAACTGTTGCACAGTATCCAACACCTGTTGTTACTATAAAGTATTTGTCCTTCAAAGAAATACTCAATATTTACTCGGCACTTAGATTCTCAAGTAATTCTTAGGTATTGCTGAGGTTTATGAACCTGAAATAGGAAACTTTTATGGTATTACTTATGGAATAGCTTACTCTTATTTGAAATTCTACTAGTGAATATTTAATTTTTATTACTGTTTGTTAAAATTAATTACCTGTTATTTATCATATCATTTTGTGTTTTCTTTCGAATGCCACATTTCATAGGTAACAGAACACAAAAATGTGCATTTTGATAGGACAAAGAG